ACTGAGAGTGGTGTTCTTGATCTAAAAAGTGTAATATTTTGATAAGGCTGGAGCCATGGATGTCTACTCATCTACAAACGTGTGATTTAATAATTTCATCATGTGGCAGACTGGAGTTGTATAAATGCAGCTGGCGAGCTGGGTTCGTGTCCCAGCTGGATGGAATGAGCTGCCAGTTTGGGTCCGTAGGCAAGAGCCTTCACTCTAAAGCCTGCTTTGGGGAGTGGCGGCCTTACTGCCAGGTTTCCAGAATTACTCATGAGCTGTTACTTGATTAACATAATGAGATACAAATGAGGCCTCTATCCATCATTTCATTTCCCATGACTAAAGCGCTGGTTATTCTCCTACAGCATTGTGTCGCAGTGAGCCTGATGCAGATATTTTTGATTTATGCCGAATATTGAAGTGTGGTCTGCGCTATGTTTTTCCATGCCACAACGCAAGAGGGAAAATCACAAACTAGCTGTGGGTGTAGATACGGCTGAGGCGGTGAGGAAGAGGGGCAAGTTCCTTCCTGTTAAAAGGGAGTTTTTCCTCTCCACTGTCGCTACAAGCATGCTTAGTGTGAGGGATTGCATTCGAGTCAATGAGTCGATGCAATCAACTGGCTTTCCTTTGATAAAAAACTTTAAATCAATTTGACTGTATGATCTGGTAAACTTTAAAGTGCCTTGAGATGACTTGTGTTGTGAATTACTTCACTTTTGTTGCTTCTCCTGCTGTTAGAAACAACAGGTTCAAAGTAAGTGAAATAATGGAACATGAATGAGAATAGATTCTCCAGAGAAGCAGCCACAGCAAAGTCTTATCTTATCTTGAGTCATTAACATTGCTGCCGAATGAGCTTCTCCCTCTTTGAGACACACAGTTCAACAACCTGATAAATTATTGTTACTGCTTACTGTATATTATTGGTACTAAGCCAGAGTCCTTGGAGGGAACTGAGCTGCTTATTTACTGGGGCCTCAAATAATCATGTTCATCCTGTTAAATAAACAGACGAGGATTATCTTATCCCAACGTGCTAAATGCTGTAACAATATTCACAAACAGACTTTGGAATAAGTTGTGCTAATAAATACAACAGCAATGAGTACGATTGATAGACTGATTAACAAGGAGATAATGATAAACATGATCTACTACTTAATTATAATGAAGAGCAACTTTTAATTGTGAAAACCTTAAAACAAAAAACAAATCATTATTGGGATTAAATTTAAATAAGTTTAATAAAATTATTTTTATGTTTGCAAATCAGAGGCTTCATATAAACAATATTTTAGATACTGAATAAAATGTGCATTAATTTATCTTGGCTGATGAATATGCTGCATAACTTTCTTTCTGCAGGTACTACTTTAAAACTGCTTTTGCTTTTTTTTAGCAAGCCTTCAAAATCAAGTTATGACAACAAAAATAAAAACAGGTATTGAACACAGGTAGTCAAACAAACTGAACCCTAGAATGAATAGCCTGGGTCATGGAGCACAGAAGATATGTGGATATGTAACTTCATGTTCCTGAAGACTTCTGCTACAAAATTTCTCGACTCATCAACCAAACAATAAATTGTTACCTGGAGCTTTCTTTGCATCTCTAGTTCCTTTACAAATGTGTTTAGATTAAATTTTTAGTTTAAAAAGTAATAATTAATTTGTGGAATTACACCCCATTGTTTAAATAACGTTTTTTTACAGCTTAGGGCTTAAGAAACCTTATGGATCTCTTCTGCACTCTTGTGGAAATTTTGGGAACTGAGAGAAAGGCTTGAATGACTACTGTATATCTGCATGGTGACCTTTATAAATGGTGAATAAATGGTAGGGAATTAATTAATTTTCCTTGCATTGTGAAATATGAACAAATGTGACTTTCAGACAGGCCAGCCAGCATTTGCCAGTGATTTAAATAATATTCTCCTTTAATAATCCACCCATACTGAAGGTGAATATTTATATGGATTCACAAGGAACGAACACCACTCAGACCCATTGTCAGCAGCATTAACTCAGTAACATACAATATTACTAAACAGCTCACTAATATTTTAGCCCCCTTGATGGGAAACACACCACATCACATAGAAAACTCCAAAGACTTTGCAAACTAAGTTAAACATTTAAAGATGGCGGTAGGAGAAACCCTGGTGTCAAAATCCAGCTGAAAGAAGTGGAAGCTTTCACAAGACACATCAACTCGGTTGACCACAAAATAAAATTCGTCAAAGAGGATGCCGCGTCGTTTTCAGGACACCACCTAGACAACAAGCGGTTAAATAACGACATGCAGCCAAACATATCCTCACTGGTCAGATCGGGGAGGGGACCTGAGTAAATTGGCAATCAAATATCATAAGCATATAAGGAAACACATAAAATTTGACATTATATAGTTGTTGTTTCTTTTTTCAGGACTGCTTAACTGGAGCAGGGGTTAAGCAATGAAGTACATTTATCAGTGCTGTCTTTGTCATCCCTGATGTGGAGATGATGAAGGTAACATATACAGTACATCTATCTCCCCCTCTTTGAAAAAAATCTACACATTATAACTGTGATATTCTGATTCTGAAAACATATTTATAATGCTACATTGAAAGGTGTTGTTCTTTATTTAAGTCACTGAAGGGTTAATACAAAGTTTAGGATTTAATGAAAATACATTTCGCTCAAGTTTATCAAACTTCTGTGATATTTATATGTTACAACTTCATGGGGTCTCTGCCCTTTTTTCCTTGTAGGGTTCGGGAGACACCTCTGCAGGTGTTATGTTTTACCCTGATTAGTGCTCTGCTGCGTTAAAGCTGCTATGCATGCAGCAGATGAAACGCTTTTTCCACTCCTCCTCAGAACTCTATTTGGTTTGGTTTGTATCTTGTTTTGCATTTGCTTTTTTCTGGTTACTTATGGGTTTTGCATTAATCTATTTTGGTTTCTTATTTCAGGTATTCTCTTTTCAGGTTATATTTCTTTAGTATAAAATTAAATCCTCATTTAATCAGAAAATCCTTGTGTGGTCTCCTTTAATGTTACCCCACCAAACAAGCCCGGTGTACACAACATTTAAAAATCTTGATCTGAATTTTTTGTCATTCTAAGAACCAAAGTTTTTAAATAAAAAAAATCTCAGAAAAATAAAAAATAAATATTTATGCATGTGCATGTAATCAAATAAGCTCTATAACTTAGCAAATTTTAGCTGGTGACTGGTTATAGTCATTAACCATGTTAAGAAAAAGTAAGGAAGATACGGCGATGGATGAAAAAATAGCCTACTTTTGAAACATATCACTTTAAATAATAAGGAATTAGATTTTAATTATATCAAATGGATATATACTCAACTATGTATATTAATCCCTTATGACAAAAATCTTGTTTGCCATATTTCTGTAACAATGAATAATAAAAATTAAGTTCTTAGTTTCAAAAACTACCTTCTTTTCATATTCTTCTTCTGCTAATGTATTTGATTTCAACTAATGTTTATGCCCATGTTTCTTATAATTTATCTTTGTTTTTTGACAAAATATAAAGAAAAAAAATATATCAGAATTTGATTTAAATATGTAGTGCATAGGGGGCAGGCACTATGCAAATGAAGTACATGCAAGATATAATATTTTTTAAAGCAATGAAGTGATCGAAAAGCATTCTGTTGTAACATTTGATAATTACCTCAAGAGGTCACTGTCTATCAAATAAAACAGCCGAGTATTTTAGAAGCAGAGGATATGGGTTAGCACTAGAAAAAAAGCACTAAATAAAATCCTAAAAATGAAAACCCTTTTTTTTATGTGATCGATCTAAAAAAAACGTTTACATGTTTTGTTTTTCTTTCTTCTTTTTTTTTACTATTACCCGTTATTAGAGATTAAATATTTTTCTTGCACATCTAAAAAATATATTAATATATTTTGAAATATTTGAATATTATTATTCAATTTCTATTTGTTTTTTTATGTCTCAAGGTCATTGGGTGGGTTGGGCGGCGCCCTACCACTATTGGCCAGCCGCCACTGCTTAGCTCACACATTTCCAATTAGATTATGGGGTTATTTTTTGGGTCAAACTATGTCCATGGTTCTTTTGTGTTCATGTGTCTATGTAAGATGTGTATCTAACCTGCTTCAGTACTGTAAGCTTTTTATGTAATGGGTTTAAGGAACCCCATACAAACTACCCTGTCTAGAAAAGAGACAAATTAACCTTATCAAAAGGTGTTGTAGAGATAGAAAATCCAAACCTTGGTTTCATTAAGTGCATAAAACAATACATAGTGCATGTAAGTTATTGTTTTTCTTCACTCGAATTGAGCAGGGCTCTCCTGCTGACAAGTTTATTGCTACTACACTGCAACAGATCTTTTTAGGCTTTTCTATTTGTGCATATAATTTTCAAGCAACTAAGAGCTGTACCATCTAATTCGAAGAAGTGCAAATGGCAGTATTGAGAGAAAGGTGGGCAATTTCTGTATTGCTCAATGGAACATTCAGTTTTGTTTGTTCTTATAACCAGGTCACAATCAATTCTGCGTGTTTGTCACACTTTATTGCCAGCTGTTTCTTTCTTTAAAGCTTAATATATATGTAGTGTATTTTAAATATACAGTATTTAAACTTCAATTATGCTACTTTACATTTTAAATCAAATCAAATTGACAATGATAACACTTGAGCTGAATAAGATATCTCACTGGGTTTTGCTTGCTCAATTGATTTCTGCAAATGATTACCAGGAATGGAGAAAACAAACAAACAAAACTTTACAAGAATGCTTGGTTTTACTGACTCCCTTTATTTAATTTTATCATAACCCATATTTAAAAAGAATATAAAGGTTTTATTTTTTGTCTACTAGTGTTATCTAGTCTTGCTATTAATTCTCTATCAATCCAGTGCTTTATTCAGCTTGTTGTGGTCACTTCCTTTCATCTGTGATTGTGTAGTCTCAACCCACTTGTGCAATCATTGTGCAAGTTTGTTTTCTTTTTTGTGTTGTGAAATCCAGAGCTCCCTCTCTGTATAACAGTGTAGCTGTCTGTGGTGCCTCGTTCTGTTTTGTAGTTCAGGGTAGGAGGTCAAAATGCACATGATGGCCAAAAGCTGTGTCCTGCTGTTGTGGCTGCATTTACTTACCTCTGTAGAAAGCAAAGGTAAGGTTTTTTTTATTATTAATTTAATGTTTTACTCAGAAATGATATTGATGATAAATTATTGATAGAAAGGTTCAATAACAGTATGTTGTCCTCCCGCAGACTGTACAATTGAAAAGTTTCTAAAGAGCTCTGATTATGATTCCAATTTCGACACAAGTGGTCTGGAATCCAGTTATGCAGGAGGAAGACAAGTGAGAATACCCTGCAATGTTGGCTACAGTGGCTTTTTCAAAATAATCTGCACTGAGGGGAATTGGGAGCCTAGGGGCACAAAATGCAAACGTAAGTCAGAAACTTTTTTAAATTAAATCCTTCCTTTTCTCAGGGTTTTTTTTATCTCAGGATATTTATTCATGTTTGGTTCTTGTCCCTACATGTTAAGCAAAACCATGCGGTCATCCTGGAGATGCCCAATTTGCGGATTTTCGACTTAACGAGGGAACAGATTTTGTCTTTGGATCAGAAGTTGTCTACGAGTGCAACAGAGGGTATGATAAAAATTACAATTTAACCGTTCTCATTATTTAATTTTATCTATTATTTTTATTTTACTGTTTTTTTTTTTTAAACCTTTTCCAGTTATCACATGGTCAGTCGAACAAATCGGCGGCGTTGCACAGCAGATGGCTGGGATGGAAACATTCCAGTATGTGAAGGTATGAGCTGTGTTTGAAGTTGATCAGTCATTAAAACAGATGAGGAAGTTATTGTCATATAGAAAAAAAACCTTTAAATTCCCCAGTTATAAAACACTTAAAAATATTGGAGTTTTGATTTATTGCATTACATTGACATAGAATGTTCAAGCTTAGGTCTAAGATGCCATTTACACCCCTCAGGTCACCAGCGAGCTGTTTAATCAGTGTTCCTAGGATCAAAAATTAACAGAGTGAGGCAGCATTTAGTTTCAGTTCTACTCACATGTCTGGCTCAGAACAGTAGGATCCAGTATTCAAGGCAAACAAACAGTTAGATTTTTCAAAACATCTATTGAAAACTGAACTGAAGTGAGCAGCGTAGCCATCTAAGGCGGGAACTTCTTCAGGAGGAGACAACCGGTTAGTGACCACATCTTTCTGGAAGTGGATGATAACGACCGTGTGACTCACTAGCCTGGTCTTATAGTTCAGTCCAAGCCCAGAAGGTAAGGATAGTTCAAGCTGGTCGGCTGCCAACGCGGCGCAGCAGTCGCTGCACAGACAGTCCCAGACACTGTTGTGTCGGTGGTCAGAGGACAGGAAGGAGATCAGAACCTACTGTAGCAGATGAATGTAGGCAGGATAATCCAGAGGGTGAAGCCAAACCCGATGTCAGTGGTGCGTTCAGTTGTCAGAGCCAGGAGGTCAGAAATACAGTGAGGTGCTGAGTGAGAATCCAGGACAGAGTCAGGTCTCAGTTCCAAGTACAGAAGTACACAGACAGGCAGTTATCTGGCAGGAGTCAGAAGACAGGTCAGGCAAACCAATCAGACTGGAACAGGCAGGCTCAGAGGTCAAGAGGCAGAACAGGTCAGGATCAAGTAATCAGAATACAGGAACGCTAGAATAATTTTCACCAACAGATCAAAAATAATCTGGCAGTGATGGCTGGTCTGAAGGTTTGTTTAAATAGAGACTAATGCAGATGGATCAGATAAGCAGGTAATGATAACTGGGCAGAGCTAAGCAGGTGTGTATAGTGAGTAATGGGACCAGATATCAGTGTTGTTTTTGACAGCCATCTTAGATTTAGCCTTTGTCTTAGTCTTTAGAACCAAAACTATTAATAGTTTTAGCTACATTTCAGTCATTATGATATGAGATAGTTGTAGTCCGTTTTAGTCGACTAAAACTTTTTAGATTTTAGTCTAGTTTTAGTAAGATTTTTGTTGCAAAAAAAGTTAACCTTTACAATTTCGAATAGCAACCAGATTCTTTACCAGACTGACTGCTCTTGCCTAGATACTGCAATAGCTGAATATAGAATGCTGCCTTGCAGTTCATCATCGCTGTTGGGCAAAAAACTTTGATTTAAAGAATTCAAAAAAACAATTTTATGAATGAATGCCCTACTTCATAAAAAAGTGTCTCACAAAAGTTGTGAAAGCAGCAGATCTAGTTCAACACATCATATTTCTTAATGTTGATCAGTTCCTGATCTACTATGAATTATGCATTACACACAGATCAATAAATAAAAATAAAAAAATAACATCCTTCTTACTCTAGCATTTTTTGGCTTTATTTTTGGAGAATTTCCATCTTTGTTACCACTGCTCAGGGTCCAAATTAGCTATAAATTCACAGGGTTTTTATATTTAAAAAAAAAAATACACAGATAACCTACATAATTGCTTTATAATGACATGGCAGTCCAGACCTAAATTAAATGAATACATGTATGCTAACTAAAATGTTGACATATTCAAAGGAAACATAGAAAATGTTTTAATGACAATACAAGGAAACATTTATAGCATATTTAAATAGATAAAAACAAGAACTGAGAGGGAAATATTCAAAGATCTATGTACGGGGTCTTTATCCAAAATAAAACAGTGCCATGAAATATGTTCTTTGGGTATAATTTGGGGATCTGGTGCCCTAAGGACAAATAGTATCCAATGATACAAAGAGCTGAGAATAATACAAACATCACCAATAAAAAACATAACACAAAAACACATTGTTACACTAAAGAAAAGACACCCTAACAAGTAGTAAAAAATAATCTACATAAGAATTAAAGAATTTCATGAATAAACTATTCATCAAATCGTTAATTAGTAATGAATGCATCTCATTCTAAGACTGAGCTTAAATTTTGCATGTTTTAATTTTATACCACACTTTTGAAATCTCTCTTTATTTTATCACAGGGAATATCCTTGTGCTTAAATGCTTTATAATGCACAAAAGCTTACCTTGTTTTGAGTTTCCATCTTTGTCTTTACAGCCACCAAATGTCCAGTTTTTCATGTGGACAATAATGTCCAGGTGTTTGGGGATGTTGAAGAAGCCACCTCTGGCAGTGTTGTTCGGTTCAGTTGCATGTCAAGGGATGAAATCTTGTATGGGCAACAGGAGATATTTTGCCAAGAAGATGGAGAGTGGAGTGGGCCTATTCCAAACTGCAAAGGTATTGTTAGATTCTGGTACTGAAAGCATAAATAGGCTAGAAGCAGTCTTTTGAATAGAAAATTATTAGACATTTCTTAACCATGCAGTTCCCGAGAACAGATGATGAAGAATGTTAACTAAAATGAAAATGGTATATTTTAACTAGCTATATATTTGCTGTTGTTTACCAAAACCCAATGCAAATTGCAACAGTAAACAAAATGTGCAGTCCATAAGGTTTGTACATCTGGTTAAACTTACGCTTGATGTGAACAGAAATAAGATGTTCCGTTCCTCACATTGATCACGGAAGTGTCCCTAGCAGCCCTCGGGAGTACAAAGAACATGAGACCTTAAATTTTAGATGTGATGCTAAATTTATACCGGCTGATGAGAGACCTCCAAGATGCACAAAGTTTGCAGGAAAACCAATGTGGAGCCCCACACCTGCATGTAAACGTGAGTATTATCTAAATGCAGATTTTTTTTTACAGAAGTAACAAAGAAGGTCTACATTATGCAGTTCATAACAAAAACTGAAAAATGCTTTATGTCCAATGAATCCAGCTATACAATGCTCACTGACTCTGCCACCACTCACTGGAACAACATATGACCCTCCATACACAAATGTATTCATACCTGGAGATACACTGAGAGTCACGTGTGGGGAGAAATACTGGATCGTGGACACTGGAACAACAGTGGCAGATCTTAGTTGCAAAGAAGATGGAAAATGGGACGCGCATCCTGTATGCCAAGGTATCAAAATGTAGAAGGTTAAAGGACATCAGAAAATTATTTTGTGATTTTTGTCTTAGTGTTGCTGTTTCATTTGTCCTATGAAATGATTAGCTTTGGTTATTTTAGCATTTGAATAAAACATGTATTTTACTTCCACTCCAGAGGTAACATGCCCAAGATGGATTGAAGGACAGCATTTGAAAAAGCCTGTTGATGCTTGGAGAGGACATAAATTAGGTGACAGTCAAAGATATGACTGTGCCCCAGGCTCTCAGCCTGCAAGTAGAGATAAAAAAGCAATATGTACTAGAGATGGCTGGGCACCAAAACCCCTTTGCCGAGGTAATGTTAATTTTGAATGTATTTATTTTACTATATAACTATATTTGAATGACATCTACAGAGTCAATAAACATTTATTGCCACTTTACACATGTAATTTGGGTACAGTTACTCAGTCATTTGCTTTTCCATTTGGGTATGCAAAATAGGTATTACTTAATTACTTCAAATTATACAGTCCATGTAATTGCAACTGGATAGATTTTCTTAAATAAGTTTTGGTTGTTACTTTTAGGAAATATAATTTCATATGTTAAAATTAACTCTGAAAGATTAAGAAGGCCCCAGAGATCAATAGTTAGCGACATTCAATTTCTTACTAAAATATGACTTTTTTTTTATCACTTTATAGGTTCTAAAATTTGTGGTTTTTTAACTGATGTTGGCCCATCATACAATTTTCAGCTTACTCTGAAACTGTCTTTCCCAGCGATCTAATTACCAAAACAGATTAAATGAAAACTTTACTCAGGCTTACCCTTCTGCTTCCACTTTACCCTGTAACTCTGTTGATGAGTTGTTGATAACTTCCTTTCTAATCGCTTTCTCTGGGAAAATGAAATCTCCTTGGAGAAAAATTCCAGCAGTGAGAAAAGAAAAGAGGGAGTGTCGAAAAGTCGAACAAAGGTGGCAAAAGAATGGACCAAGTTCACAAAAAAAGTGACTTCACAGATATAATTTATAACTAAAAGATGCAAGAGAATCTTTCTTCTCTGAGATTATCAACGGAAGCATTAACAATGCTCGCGCCTTTTTTGCCACAGTCGACAGGTTAACAAACCCTTCAATCTCCATGGCCGGTAAACTCCAATTTAAAAAGGCCTGCAGTGACTTTGAAGGGTTCTTTACTGAGAAAATACAAGGTATACGAAAAGCAGCCTCTATATTAACTTAAAAAAATACTGCCTCTGGCAAAGATAAATTGTTAAAATGCCCAAATTCTCCAAAAAAAAAAAAAAACAAGAGCAACAGTTAAGAAGAAATTGTTCAGCATCTAAGTTACTCTTAATGTTTTATCCACGGCTATGATTAAGAAGGATTTAGCAGTTTTATACCACTTATACACCTGCCAAAAAAAACACTTAAAGATGGGAACAATTAGCTTTTATTGGCAGTGACCTGTGTCGACCTGGGTCAGATGACTCGGAAAACAACTAGGGTTAAAATCGCCCTCAAACGGCCTGGCTCCCATTGGCATATGGTGAGAACATCATACCCGGGTCGACACACTCATTTACATGATACCACTGAGTGCAACATACGGACCTTAACACACCACTCCAATCAATCAAATAACCCAAAACAACTTTGCTTGCATTCAATAAACATGGCGCTGTGCTGGTAGGAGGATTCAGACAGACAAAAGAGCAAATCAATAAAGCAGATTTACTATGCCCTGCCTCCCTTCCATGTTGCTCTCCATTGTTTACTTATCCAGATTTTCCTTCCAACTGAATAAGAATAAAAACCAAGATAAGCATCTTCAGATGAGAAATCCAGAGTTAGCTCGCAGCTTCAACTACTACAGCTAGAAACCACTGATTATGGCCAAAATCTTGGTGTCATAGGCTACGTTCGATCTGCAGCCCGAAGTGACAAAATTCAGATTTTTTGGCTCATATGCGACCTGGATCTGATCTTTTCATGGCAGTCTGAACAATACAGATACGATTTTTTCAGATGCGACCTAGGCCACTTTGCTATGTGGTCCTGAATCCGATACAAATCTGATCTTTTCAAAATCCAACCTGTGTCTCAACGGCCAGGTCGCATTCCTCTTACCTGAAACCCCCCACCTGCGTTCTATGACTGCAGTTTACCCAGGAGATTATACACAAGTCACATATATTTGGAAATGTGAACGGCAACGCAAAAAAATAGCATTTCACAAAAAAATCGGAACTGAGCATCAAGGCCTGCAGTGTGAACGTAGCCATAATGGACTCAGACTTTAACCTTTGGAGGTGCATAATGGCAGTCAGTGTTTTATCACCTAAAGAAAATTTTCAGGATTAAAGAACTAATCTCCAAGCAAGATCTAGAAAAAAATCATCCATGCATTTAGTAGGATTTATTACTGCAACAGTGTGTTCATAGGTTTGCCTACAAAGTCCATCAGACAGCTGCAGCTGATCTGAAACGCTGACGCCCATGTGCTCACTCGAACTACGAAAGTAGAGCATATCAGCCCGGTTCCGAAGTCCTTCCACTGGCTCCCTGTAGCTCAGAGAATAGACTTTAAAATCCCTCTGTTAGTCTATAAATCAGTGAATGGATCAGCACCTAAATACATCAGTCACAGATTTGTTCTCAGTGTATCAACCTCCAGACCATTCAGGTCTCATAGTTTAAGCCTCTGTACACCCAGATCTAGAACCAAACATTAAAATGCAGTATTTACTTCCTATAATACACTTCATTTGTTTTGCTACTCTCTTTTAAAATGTTTCATCTTTATTCTTCTTTTATTATTTTTTTATTTAATTGTTTAATTCATGTTAAGCACTCTTAAATGTCATTGTACTTAATTAGGCTTCAGAAATTCACATTCCTTCCTTTGCCTTGATGATTTACAGGACCTTGTGAAAAACCTCAGATCAGAAATGGATTTGCAGTTGGTCCTCTTGAAGGAACTTTGTACTTTGCTTGTAACGAAAATTACAAACTTCCTACCAAAAGCTGGTGGGGGCAGGCCAAATGTAAAGACGGCGACTGGGAAAAACTTCTTCCATGTATAGGTAATTGCTCTATATTCTTCCTTTGTCAACAAATCAAGGAAATTTGTGTTTCTAACTATTTAAATATTAGACTAATTTAAGTTGTATGATGTTCATCAATTATAGATAACTCTTGGTTTTTGGATAGATAATGCTTTGTTTTCAAACTTTCTGTAGAATGAGCTAGCTTAAAACCATTTCTGTTCAACATAAAATATTTATGCAAAAAATCTTGTTTCATATTTCAAATATATGCTTTGGCGATGAAATCCTAAAGAGAAAGACATGTGTGGAGAAGCGCCTGAAATTTCCAATGGAAGATTAAATGTCGTGCTAAGTCCTGCTGTGGTTCAATGCAATGAAGGATACACTCCTGAAGTTACCGAGATAACTTGTTTAAATGGAGAATGGAATTTCTATAATTTTACTCCAAAAACAATCTGTCGTGGTGAGTCAACCTTATCATTGTGAAATACTCCTAATATTACATATTAAAAGAGAGTTTTATCTCTTTAATGTTTCTTTATGTCTTACAGCTACTTCTAAACACTGTGGCCCACCACCCAAAGTGGAGAATGCAATTGTTACTGTGGCATATAAGAAGAAATACTCGGCCAACTCCTCTGTGACTTATCGTTGTCGTGAAAAGTATCAAATAGAGAAAGAAGACACCGTTACATGCAGATCTGGGGAATGGGAAGTAAAGAATATCACATGTACCCGTAAGTACATTTAAGCCTCTTTCCCACTGAAAATAACGGGTTAGCAAGTATTATTCAAACATGGGTCGACCCGCTAACAATCAGCATTAGGGCTTCCTTCCAACTGTGTCAGCGAGCACTTCCCACTGCCACTAAAAGCTGATGGTTCCCGGGTTTAAACAGGTTTTTCGCCCAGTAGGAAAGGGGTATAACAGTTATTATGAGTGTTATACTTTAAAACCCTCACAATGTTGTTTCATTTTATATCCCTATTTCTATATATATATATATATACATATATATATATATATATATATATATAATATATATATATATATATATATATATATATATATATATATATATATATATATATATATATATATATATATATATATATATATATTAGGGATGGGACGATTTATGAAAACCGTCCGAACCGTTCGGTTCGACTGTCTCGGTTCGATTCGCATGTGTTTTGTTCGGTTCATGCGCTGCTCCTTTTTCTCATAGGCGAAGCGTTTACACTCCAGAGCAGAAGGTGGCGGTAATGCGACCAAAGCCAACCACCAGTAGTAAACAAGAAGCAGGTGTAGCAGGGAAAAAAATCAGTTGTTGTGGAGAATTGTGTGGGAATGGCGAGTGGAGTGAATAAATGCACCTTTTGCTCTGTTGCTGCTCGGGCCTAATTAAGGAGATACTGGAAACTAAATAATACCCTTGTTAAAATAAAACTTTTCAAGACTTATATACTTTTTCTAATACATGAACAATATCAAGAAATGGGAATACTTAAAATTTAAATGGCCATCTTCTGCAGTAAAAATATTTAAAAAAAAAACTAAAGACAAAAAAGAAAAGGAAAATGATGGAACAATTGAAAAACGTTTCCAAATAAAAGAATATATCAGAAGAGGAACGAGTCATATTGCTACAGCTTCAGAATAAAGTTTAAAAAAAGCAGCTGCAAAAGGTGCATTTATTCACTCCAGAGCTAAATGGTTGGAGCACGGTTAGAGGAATTCTAACTATTTATTTTGCTCTTGAACAACATAACCAGAATAGATCCAACATTTCAGCACTGAGAATAGACAATAAATTCACTACTAATCCCAAAGACATAGCAGAACATATCTGTGCTTTTTATGAGGCCCTGTATAAATCTAAATATGAACTGGAACATTGTGAGAGATTCTTAGACAATATTAAGGACTCTATCCCAAACATCACAGAACATTTTAAACAAAGTTAAAAACCCTATCTCCAATCTGGAACTTTACAAAGCTTTGAAACATATGAAGACCGGGAAATCCCCAGGAATAGACGGATTATCTGTTGAATGTTATACTTTTTGGGGGGGATATTATTGAAACTCCACTTTTAAATTCATATAGGGAATGTATTGAAAATAATGTAATGACTTCAACTATGAAACAAGGTCTAATTAGCCTTATTCCACAACCCAACAGACCCCCTATATATAGAAAATTGGAGACCCATCTCACTCCTGAATGTAGATTATAAATTATTTGTTTTGGTCTATTCTAGGCTCTTAAAACTAATCTTGGAGCTTTAATAAGTGAATGCCAAACAGGATTTATGTCTAACTGACACATCGGTAATAATGTCAGATTAATCTTAGATTTACTTGACTGTTTAGATCATGTGGAGTCACAAGCAGTAATTGTATTTCTTGATTTCTACAAAGCTTTTGACACATTAGAACACCCCTTTATTTTTAATGCATTGAAGTTAATGGGATTTGGAGAAAACTTTATCTCAATTATTAAAATGATACACAAAGACATTAACATTAATTTAATCATCTATCCCTCCACCTCTGAAAGATTTCATATTAGCTGTTCTGCCTGTCAAGGGTGCCCCATTTCTCCCTTTTTGTTCCTAATTGCGCTAAAAATCATAAATAACGTCAATATAAAAGGCTTAACCACATTTCAAAAGGAAATTAGAATTACACAACTAGCTGATGAAACGACTCTATTTCTAAAGGACAAATTGCAAATTGAGCCAGCTTTAAAATTAGTTTGTGATTTCTCTAAAGCTTCATGTTTACATCTCAACATTAATAAATGTGAAATCTTGTGTCTTTGTGATACCGATTGTACAAACATGTGCGATATTCAAGTAAAAGAAACAGTGAAATGCTTAGGCATTGATATCACTAAAGATTTATCTTCTATACAAAATCTTAACTTCTTCCCCAGAGTTAGAAAAACCCAAAACATAATGAATATGTGGCTCCGACTTGACTATTGGCAGAATTCTCTTATCTAAAGCCGAAGGCATTTCAAGACTTGTATATCCTGCCATATCGCTTTTAGTTGATGATTCATCATCCAGATATAAATAAATAAAATTCTCATCAATTTTAATTGTAAAAATTAGAAGCCTCTTTTGAAGAGTGAAATTCTTATAGCTCCCAAAATACAAGGAGGATTTGATTTATTAAATTTCAATAACTTGAATAACACATTTAAAATGAAATGGATAAAGGAATGTCTCAAAACCACTAACTCAATTTGGTTTTTCATCCCAAAGAATATTTTTTAAAAAATTGGGTAGTTTGTATTTTTTACTCGCCTGTAGTTATGGTGTTACAAAAGTACCTTTAAAACTATTCCAATTTCACCAATAGGCTCTCTTAGCATGGAAACTGTGCTACTCCCATAAATTTTCTCCTCACAAAACCTTTAGTTGGAACAATGAAGATTATCATCAGGACAAAATCCATATTGTTACAGTACTGGGTTGATAAAAACGCTATTTTTGTATGTGACTTTTTTGATTCTCATGGTATAATGCTGAGTTACAGGCACTTTCTTAGTATTACTGTAAGTCATTTCCTGTCACATACAAAGAATTTAAATACATAACTAAGGATATCCCTAATAGTCTTTATCTCTTGATTTGGAGCCATTTTTAGTTTAATGAAGTTCTACCTACTAATTTTTTATGTCAAAATTCATAAACACAAATGTACATTTTCCAAAATGTCCCCCAACTTCAGGTGTTTCTTGCATGAATTCAAAGAGTACATGAAATCCCTTACGTTAATTAATTAAAAACAGAGCAATACTTCCAAGGATATTTTGGAGAGACTTTTCAAGCCATTTTGAATTACATTTTACTCTGTTGAGAAAGCACTGACCTCTTTTCAAAAAATTGTATAAAATCAGTATTTTATCCAAATGAGCTAAAACTTTCAAAATATGTTCTTTATAAAGCCTGCTGTAAGTTGGTTACAATAGCAAAGCGCTTCTTTAAAGTCCGTCACTCTGATTTTTCAAACGTTTGCGTTCTCGCCTAATAGTTGGCCAAGTGGACAGATAATGCCAGGAAATAATTCAGCCCCTAGCCATGCTCATTCCTAGGATAATGAAATTTGGCACACATCTGTATGAGTCCCCCACCTACAAAAAGTTTTATTGGAGCCATGGTCTAAACCTCTCATGAAGTCAGCCATTTTGAATCAAACGGCACCCTTATGAAAATAGAATCACTATGTTAAAATATTTCTAAAAAATCAGTCGAGTTCTCAAAAAAGCTAGGACTTTTGGAATATATTCCTTTAATCGCTTCTTGTTTGATGGTAAATACAGCATAGCTGTTCTTAAAAGTCCGTCACTCTGATTTTTCAAAAGTTTGTGTTAACAGGAAATTGTTGTTTTTCAAAAGGTTTTATAGCAATCCTAGCCAAATTTGGAACATTTATTTATACTTTGATTATAGTTAAGTTTGCCAAGTTTGGCGTATATCTATGCATGTTTGAGCATCTTATGGGGTATTCAACTGCCTCAGTATATGGCACTTAAGTTTAAAATAGTTTTTTTTCTTTCAATTAATTAGTAAATAATCTAAAACAATTCTAGAATATGCAGGATGCATTCCTCGACATGTGTGATTTTTTTCAGGATTTTACTGCAAACTATGGATTTTTAACGATTTTTTATAATTTTGAGTAGGGTGTAATACCGCTAACCATGGAGTTTGAAGATGCTGTTTCTCCTTCTTTTGAACATATACTTTTGACCTACCAACTGAGATGGCCGCAGCGTCTATCTGACAGATGAGATTCGTCCCAGATATTATCGTTTATCCCTGTTTTAACCCTTCCTGACCAACGCTGTGGTTGTCTCCTGCTGGTCCAGAGGTGAAGCGTGGAGCTTTTTCCGCTGGCTCGGAAGGAGCAAGGGGAGGGCGGTCGCTCGGCTCCCGCGGTCGTGATAGGCCGAGCGGCGCTGAGCTGCGAGGGCCGTCAATACCGCTCGCGGTTTTAATGTACTTTGTTTTTTCTATGTTTTTTTATTTTAGAGCACCTGTCTATTGGTCTTCTGTATAATTGTTTTTTTTTCAAGTTTCGTATAATTTTTTGTTTCTAAGATCTGTATATTTTGTTAGCAAAATATTTCAATTAAAAAAAAGGGGAAAAAAGCCTCTTGGCCGGTCTCCTCTTAGGGGTTTTCCACTATTGTTTGTGGTGGCTGGAAGGAGATGTTAAAGGTTTTCATGTTCGTGAGCCAAACTGTAGGCACAACAGTAATAAAAGCGAACATATTTTGCTAGCAGGTTTCAACATTTTAAGTTAATTTAGGCGTTAATAAACTATTTCAGGGGAGTCATCACAGAGATCTGCATCAGCAACGCTGTGTCTGTCTCCCTGCCAGCTCCCAGATCAGCTTCTCTGATTGGTTAATGTGGCACGTGAGGCAGCAAAAGTTCAATTTTACAACTCTAGCAGGTGCCGCTTGTGAAGTACGTCACTGCTTCAGATGCTCAGACGCTCTTGAGGCGCTTCTCCTGCTGCTCAAAATGCTCCGCATGACCTTTTGATTCCAAAACAGTTAAAAAAACAATCCACTGGACTGGTTTTGCCTCCCATCAAGGAAGCTTTTTCAATTCAAAATGACAGAATTAGCGTTGAGTTCAAAGCTTTATAGAATTGACCAAAACAAAGCCTTGTTTCGGCTTAAAAGGTTCTTTGTTAGCCTGCAATACCCGATATTGGTCTATGGCTAGGTCTATGGACCTTTTTATGGTTCTTGATGCCCGTCAACCATTAACTTTGCATGTAAACCAGTTTTATTGGGGGGGGTTTTGTATTGTCATTACACTGTCACAAGTACAGAGCAATGAAATTGACTCTCTGCATTTAACCCATCCCTTTGGGGAGCCCAAAGTGGGGGGTGTTTTTACTCCGCCTTTTCCTCGTCATCCTGTTTTACCTTTAAAGAAGAATATCAACACAGTCAAATACTAAACTGATAGAAATGAAAACAAAATGCCATTTTAGCATCACATTTCAACAGGGTTGTAACACTGTGTGAATTCCTTTCAGCTTATTGTGAAAAGCTTACTAGTTCAAGACTAGTGGTTGAAGAAGCTATGGAAAAACAGAGATATCTCGAAGGAGAAGTGATTGAGTACGTGTGCACTTCTCCGCATGTAAAAGCAGGAGGAAATGCAACATGCAGGAATGGCGAGTGGATAAAAACGGAAGAATGTCCAGGTAAGAAAAAATAGCTCTTTGGCCTAAATAAATATAGTTTCTAAAACGTTAATTGATTTAACATAGTTCACAGGAAATGTGTTCGTTCCTATTAGTGCCAAGCACTGTGCTTATTACTAAAAATTAATGGGTGGTAACATAACGTTTTGACAGAGTTAGTTGAAAACGTTTTTGTGTTTTCTAACTTGTTTATGTCTATTTTGGTTTTTTAGGCATTCCTTGTAGAGTTCCACAATTGGGTCCTGGTCTTGGAATTTCTGGATTTCCACCCGAAAATAATCTGGTGAAATCAGGAAAAAAATTACGTTTTTACTGCAGAGAAGAATATGACATAGAGGGCTCTGCTGAAATTAAGTGTTTAGAAACTGGAGATTGGGATGCCCCACTGCCAACCTGCTCAGGTATGTTCACTTCCTCTTTTGGGCAGCCTTGTAAACACTGAAACCAATCTGTTCCTACGGCATCTTTAAAACCAGTTATTTTAAAAATTGTTAATAAAATTCTGTTGATCTTTTCCTATCTGCAAAAATTATTCACAATGCTCCTATGAAGAATGTTTACATGTAGGAAGATTTATATTACTGACTGACAGCAACTTTTTTCATTAGTCCGCAAGTATTAGTTCACATTCTGTCTCATCAGTCTCACATATGTGAACAAGCTTTCATTAATTGGGTTTCTATTACGAAAGTGTGCAAGAATGGCAATGATCTGTTTATTTTGAAAATGCAATTGCTGTGTTTTCATTAAATTAGAAATATAATTACAATTGCACATGAATATTTTTGTTCCATGTCGATGATCACATAACCTGTGTGGTGTGGAAAAAGTGCTTCCAAATATAATAAATATAATAATTTTGCTTTGACCACAAGACCACTTAATCAAAGCATAAAGCACTTTTAAAATTTGCTGTTTCCTTTCAGCAAATTAATTTTCATAATAAAATGTTATGCAATATAGTGGTTTATGGTGACACAGCGTTCCCTAAAGAAAAAGTACAATGTAATGTGGATTATTAAGTCAAAATTAAAAGTTGAAGGTAACAAATTAGTAATAAGTGGTTTAAAACTTTTTTTACTGTTATAATGGCACCGGTTTTATTTTAAGATATAACATCTGTTGCTAATGTTGTAAACCATCTCTTGTTTTACAGAGAAATGCAGAATACCAAATCATTCAGAAACTGTACGCATCGCTTCATCTGTGCCAGGCAATGCTCTAGAGAAAGGATTTCAGTTGTCATTCAGTTGTGAACAAAATGTACACATCATGAAAGGAAGTAAAACAATTACTTGTTTGGGAAATGGAAAGTGGAGCGACTCACCACCTGAGTGTGAAAGTAAATCACTTCTTCTTTTATTTACTCTTTTTGTACAATCTTGGTTTTGAACTGAAGAAACAGCAAATTCTGAAGGGTGTTAAACACCAAAGTAGAGGCATTACTGAAGTGATAAAAGGGAGGTGTTGGCCTAGTGGTTAGAGAAGTGTACTCTGAAAAGGTTGCAAGCACCCGGTTCTTTCTCAATAGCCCGCACTGGGTCCCTGAGTAAGGACCTTTACCCCGCACTCACCCCCCGGGCGCTGCACAATGTTCAGCTTGCTTAAATCCACATACTTTAGTAGAAGGGAGTCACAGGTTCAGGATTCTAGAGCACTTAATGTTTGCTTTCTGACAAATAATTCTACACCTTATTAACACAGAACATCAACTAGTGGAAAATGAAACCCCCATTGCTGGTTTCAAAATTTTTTTTTAAGCGGCTACTCCCATTAACCTGCTCAGGGCTGCACAGTGCTGCAATGGGTGGTAGCAGGGAGCTTGCATGTTCTCCCTGAACATGTGTGGGTTCTCTCCTGGTACTCCGGCAGTCTAAAAACACGACTGTTAGGTTAATTGGCTTCTCCAAATTCTCCTTAGGTGTGAGTGTGTGTGAGACTGGTTGTTTGTCCTGTTTGTCTCTGTCTTGCCCTGCAATGAACTGGCGACCTGTCCAGGGTGGACCCCGCCTCTCCCACGTAGACAGTTGGAGATAGGCACCAGCACCTCTCAGGACCCAGCCTAGGATTAGTGGGATGGATAGACGGATGGATGGATGATCCCATTCACCATGAAAGCGTAACAACCCAATGCATCTATACATTAGCCCCATTTACACTACCCTCTGAGTTCAGACCGAGCTTGGATCAGTTAACCGTGCTGAGCTCTGTTCTTCATGACCATTTACACATATCATGTTAGCACGGTTCCTTGCTTCTTTGTGACGATTACGGTGCTACAACTCTCTAGAGGGAAACAAACAAATCAACAGGGTGGCACCTGTAACATTCAGGAAGTTTGGTTATAATTGTGATAAGAAGGCAGCCTATGGTGAAGTTACTTGACAGAGTCTGCTTTTGGGAAGTGGATATGACAAATGATAGTCTAATCAGGGCTTACAGATGCAGGAAACAACAGACATTTGGGGTTAATTACACTGCTAAGCAGATGAGTGAGCGTGCTTAGGTTGTATCTGGCACGTTCCGGTTCAGACCGATCTTGGCACGGTTTCACAAGGGTAGTGTAAATGTGGCTACAGAAATAACCCAAAACAAATAGGTTCAGAATTAAGTTATGACATCTGGTAAGAGAACTGAACAAATGCAGAAGGATTTGGAGAAGGCACAAGTCAAAACACCAAATCTATTGAAATCTGTTATTGATCCGAAAGCCATCCTGTCCCTTTAAATGCAAATGAAAATAAGCTGTTTCAGTCCTAACTGATGACTTATGAAAAGGTGTGTCATCACCAAGGTGTCGCAAGTGCAAAATCTTATGATGGGCAAAAGGAGGGGTTCTTAATCTTGGTCCTCAAGTACCACTGACTTGCATGTTTTAGACCAGTGGTCTCCAATCCTGGTCCTCAAGATCTACTCTCCTACAGATTTTAGATGCATCCCTGCTTCAACACAGCTGCATCAAATGATTGATTACCTTTTCAAGCAATTAATTTGATTCAGCTGTGTTGAAGCAGGGATGCATCTAAAATCTGTAGGACAGTAGATCTTGAGGACCAGGGTTGGAGACCACTGTTTTAGACACTTTTCTACTGAAGCATATCTCAGTCAAATAATTACATTGAACCCTAGGTGAACATCAGGTGCTGCAGATGGCTGAATTATTTAAGACTTAGACTTCCTTTATTGTCATTGTACAAAGGCACAACATGACATTTACAACAAAATGCCATTATTTGGATACTGGGTACAGTAAGGTCTGTAGTTAGGTCAAGTCATATATACTGTGGATAACTTAGAAACTACATAAATATAGCTACAAATATAAGATTGCTGAGAAAAAATATTTTAAGTGCAATAGGTAATATTGACTTCTAGATTCGAGATGCAGCTGGTCAGCAGGCTCTCTGTGATCCCTCTGTACAAGGTGGAGAGGATGGGGGGACTCCTGAACTGTCGCAAGAAGTGCAGGTGTGGTGATGTGCCCTCTTCACCAGGGAGGTGGTGTGGAGTGACCAGCTGAAGTCGTCAGTGATGTGCACCCCCAGGAACTTGGTGCTACTCGACTCCCACAGCTGTGTCGTTAATGAGAAGGATGTGTGGGAGTGTCCGAGTCTTCTAAAGTCAAATATGATTTCTTTTGTCTTATCGAAAAAAGAGATCATCTTTTGTCGCCTGACACCAGTCCACCAGATGTCACAACTCCTCCCTGTCGGCCACCTCATTATCATCCTGAATGAGGCCTCCAACTGTAGTGTCAACAATGTACTTCAGTTTGTGGTTGCTGTTGTACCTGGAGCGGCAGTCGTGTCATCAGTGTGACTAGCAGGGGGCTCAGGATGCAGCCCCTAGGGGAGCTGATGTTCAGCGAGAAGACACTGAAGGGGTTGCCATCCACTCGGACAGACTGTGATCTGTTGGTCAGAAAGTCATGTAGCCAGTTACACAGGGATGTGTGGATGCCCAGGGGCTCCATTTTGCATACCAGGTCCTGATGGATGATGGTATGAAATGCTGAGCAGAGGTAAAGGAACAGCAACTGTACAGAAGAGTCCTTCTTCTCCAGGTGGTCCAGGCTCAGATGGAGAGCAGTGGAGATGGCACCGTCTGTGGAGCAGCGGTCCTGAAATGCAAACTGGAACAGGTCAAATGATGAGGGCAGTATGGAGGTGAAATGTTCCTTAAACACACTTTTGAAGCAGGTTGTTAAGGTAGTTAAGCATTGTGATTGCTAGTTTCTTTGGCAACGGGATTATTATGGATGACCGGAAGCACTGAGGGATGTTGACCTGTTGCAGTGAGACGTTGAAGATGTTTGTGAGCATCGGGTGGAGGGGAGGTCTTCCTCGCAGTGGTGTTGTTCAAATCTTCAATCCTTCCAAAGGAGTTGTTGAGCTCATTGAGGAAGCTGATGTTGTCCTGGCAGCATGTGGGTGGTGATAGATGTGATGATGTTCTGGATTCCCTGCCACAGTTATCTGGTGTTGCTGGGGTCCTGGAAGAAGCTTTGGATCTTCAGACTGTGGTCATGTGTTTGGCAGCCAGGAGACACCTAAAAGCCGAGATATACTCATGTGTAGGATTGCTGCGCTGGTCTGTGCAAGCCCATAGAAGTGCTTTACACATGTATAGTTGAAACAGTTCTTGCAAAAACCACAGAGGGGCAGTAATGAACAGAACAAGCAGAAATATAGAAAAAAAGAGAAGAAACAGTTGACCTACCACTTCCAAAATGTCCGATTTCAGTAGTAATTATTTAAAAAGTTATGTTTATTAAAGAATAGTAAGTCTATTTATGGCAGCTACACAGAAATATACACTGGAATAAATTGGTATTTTTATCTGCTAAACACAGAGAGAGATGACAATGGGAAAACCAGCCACCTTGTGAATCCTATATGGACCTTTTTTTTTTTTTGAAAACACATATTAAAAAAAAATGTTTTGCTAAATAAAAGCTTAATGCATTTTTTAGTATAGGTAGTTGTTCAGACCTCATTTAAAAAAAAAAAAGAAAAAAGTATGCTGTATGTGATGGAGGCAGAAACTAAAACCATTGTTTGCACCACAAGCTTGGCCAATAAACTCACCTGTATGCTGTAGGCCTTTTTTCTGTTGTTGTTTTAGTTTATTTTCTAAAATATTTTTGTTGAAGGTTGGTTAAAAAAACAATGCAAGGATTTAATTTGTTCACATTTGTAGTGTTTGTATTGAGATTTTAGTAATTTCTGTGATGATTTGGGCTTTTTGTTCCATTAAATGAGGGTAAAAACTTTTTTTTCTATTGTGTGTGGTGTGTTTGAGAGAGACAGATTACAAATAAGTTTAATGTGAATAAAATGTTTCCTTATTGTCTACTTTCATCTAGGGGCTTTAGGTTGTTCAGCGCCACCATCTCTACCAAATGGAGAAACCAGAAGCACAAGATCATATTTTGACCATGGTGAACAGGTTGAATACTTTTGCCGGGATAACTATAATTTAGACGGTGGCTCATATAAAACCTGTGAGAATGGTGAATGGAAAGGAGATATGCAATGCATTAGTAAGTCAATATTTTAAGATGCATATTGTATTATTTTTAATATATGATCTAAGTGCTGTTCTTTACCATGGATTTATTGCTGCTCGTGATTTTTGAAGTTGAAATTAAGAACAATAAAATGTGTCATGATAATATATCAGTAATTGAATGATATCAATCAGATTATTATCATTTAATTTGGGTTACTCTTTACATTGTTAAATAACAAAGTTGAAATGTAAACTTTGTTACATGACTCTTTATTCTAAGAGTTCATTAAATACATTTTGAAATATTGTTAGTGGTTTGAAATTACAAGCATTTCAAAAATAAAATACAAATGACAATAGTCACATAATGTCAGAAATATTTCACAAAACTGTATGTATACTATGTGTATATTTGAAAAAAGTGTGATCAAGCACCATCTAAAGCTACTTTTCCGTTCCTGCTTACATTCTCTTAGGATCTTCAGGTTGTTCACATCCCCCACAGGTTGACAATGGAGACACAGTTTTATTTACTAAGCCAGATTACCAAGAGGGTGAAAGAGTTGAATACAGCTGTTTTTCTCGATATACTATGGAGGGTGGTCCATTTAAAACCTGTAGAAATGGTAAATGGGAAGGAGAGATGAGATGCTTAGGTAAGTCAGAATTTTTACATTTTGAGATTGCATATTGTACTTCTTCTGAAATGTGATACAAAGGTTTTGTTTTATAAATAATTCAAATAATTGCAGCTGTGATTCATTCAGTTGAGAAAAAGGATGATAGAATGTGTAATGGCACCATATAAACAATGGTATTATTAAAAACTAGATAAAGCTAAATCAATTCATACGGGAGAGTTAATAAGACACATATTGTTATAAAGTATTGTTATGGAAATACTTTGTCCAAGTGTCTCTACTGACCATCTTTTCTAATAGAACTCTTAATTATAAGACATGCAGTCTCTGTGATATTGTGGTGCATGCAGAGAAGCTTTATTCTTAGCAGTATAACTCCAGAGTTACACAATTGATGCCTTTCAGTTCTGATATATGCAATACATTTAATCATTTCACAAAAAGTTTTTATCTGATCAGTCCAGCAATTTTAAAACTATATAAATGACAAAGTATAATTGTGAAGACCAATGGAGTAACAAAACAAGGGTTATGTGTTCAGGTTGTATGGTTTGACCGTATAAATTAAAAACTAGGGAAATCTCTTTTTTGTAGTATTAATCGTGATACGGAATTAACAAGACCTTGTGAAAAATAACGTGAAAGGTTAATTAATCCATATGTGCATTTCAGAGTTTGATCATTTTGATGATTGATTATTATTTATTTTTTTAAATGTTATAAACTAACTGAGGATTGTTTTCTGTTTTGTCTTTTTAGGTGCCTGTACTGTGGATGAGCAGTTAATGGAGCAAAATAATCTTATGTTTGCATATAGTGAGAAAAACAAACTATATGCAGTTCATAAGGATTACATTTCTTTTTCTTGTAAAGGAAGGACAAGACGTGTTGGCAGAGTGCCACTGCGTGTACAGTGTATTGATGGTGTGATGGAACTGCCTACCTGCCAGTGAAAATGTTCAATGAGCTTATTATAAATATGCAATCATAAAATTATGCTAATCATCCAATACAAGAAAGTAGACAGTATATTTCACTGTTTTAATGGTTATTTGAGTAAAAATATGTCAAGTCTTTTGCTTCTGCTTTTTGCATAGGAAAGTTTCAAGGTCAGTCGATGTTTTCATTGCTTCTGACAGGAAAAATATACATGTTCCTCTTTCTTTGTTCTGTTGTTTCAAGATAAAACATGTCAGGAACTATTGATAAATAAACCAATGCAAACATTGACCCTCTGTCAATCTGCTGAACATTGTATTTTGATGATATTGAATGCTACTGGAAAATTAAAATCTGCCTTTATGGTTTATTATTCTTGAGGTATGTATGTCTTCCAGAAAATTAAACCATTTGACTTGATCATATCATTGCTGTTAGTCAATCGATTACTCAACATTACTTTAATTTTCTGAAACTAATTTAGATTAATATTACCTCATACCACTTCTACTGGTATTGTAAAATTCAGTTTTGGGCATCAACATTTCCACAGAAACTTTTGAAAGCATTTCTGTAGATTTCTTAGAAACCGTCTAGACCCACAGCTGGGTTTTTGAAGGATTTCCAACTGTTGTGGTGAAGGAGAAGATGATCTGCTGTCTCACCTTATGCTCCCCTTTCAATCAGCTGAGGCTGTGGAGGCTGGCATTATAAACCAGGAGTGGTCCTGATGGTTTCCATCTATAAACTACAAAAGGAACCATTGCTTAGCTCCATCAGGGCATTTATAATGACAAGCGGAGACAATACTGTAAGTTTTGTGGATTTTTTTTAATGAAAAGGCAGCAGCATTGGACCAGCTCAGATCTTAGGAATTATCTTGTCGTCACCCTCTGAGGTCTCGTACCACTTTATAAAAATAAATACTAACAAACTTAGAGTTCCTCTTCTTTATAGACTTAGCACCATATTTAGATGCATCACCTCTAACAGGTTACAAAGGTTACTCTACTACATTAGAGCTGGTTGGTCTCCTGTGAGGCTATAGACAATGATTGTGAGGAACAACAAATCTGCTCTAAAACGGTGTGTGGCAGCAGTGATTCTCTCTAGTAGAGTGTCCTAACTAATTTTACAATTTAATCTTTAGTTTGTTAACCACAAAATGACAACTTCAAAATAGTAATTAATCATTCACAGCACATACCCACTTGAGTTGAGGGGGGGTGGCATCCTCCTTCAAAAAATCTTAAAAATCACCCCCCTTCTTAAATGACCATCCCCCCATACTTCACATCCCTTGTTTTATTACTGAATGTGTAAAAGCTCCACTATATATTAACAGCAATGGCAATAATATTGCCCTTTCAACATTTGCTGGGCTGTGGGCTAGTGACTGACATTTTTTCGGGAATCCCACGGGTCACGGGATTCCCGTGGGATTCCCGTGGGATGGGAGTCAGTATTAGTAACAATCACGGGATTGGGACGGTACAGGATTAAACATTAACGGGAGCGGACGGGAGCGGGAGCAAACCAATAGTAACTTCCGCTCTGAGTTTTTCACCTGCGCTCAAAAACAACAAGAATGGGAGTGGTGCAGGAGCGGGAGTCATTCTGAATGGGAGCGGGATGGGAGTGGGAGTAATTTCACCAGGAGTGGGACGGGAATGGATTTAGATTTTTACTCTGGCCCGGGATCGGGACGGGACACCATTTTTTTCTGTGGGAGTGGGACGGGACAGGAGTGAAAATCCACTCCCGTGTCAGTCTCTACTGTGGGCTTACGAATAGCCTGAGCAAAATAAATAAAATCAAAGAAGTGGCCTACGATGACTATGAAGCTGATCCCAGTGGAAAAATTTGTCTTCTGCATTTGTCCCTAACTATGTAGGGGCCAGTGATAGCCATGATAGTCCAGTCCAGGGACTGGCTGCAGTTCTACTGAAAGGTGCCTTGGTCAAGGTCAATGACCAGCATACCTGACATGTAACAACCATACCGTGCATATTGCTTTAGGTTAATAGACTATATTAATTAAGCTATGTATGCTTCCAAAAAAAAAAAGATTCCACTATCCCCCTTCCTTCTTTTTAACAACTAGACTACTGAATATACCTATATTAAAAATATCAAATACAGAATTAATGCACTTTTCAGAACTACGTTGTGTGTTTTACGGCCTCTTTGTCATCTAGAAGTCTCCTAAGTAATGAAAGATAAAAAAATAACTAAATACTTTTTATTAATGTATTTTTGTATCTATAAATTGATATTATGCAGAACCCTAAATGATTAGTTATAGTAAATGTTTTTAACAGAAATTTATATGTGAAACTCTAAAGTCACTTTGTCAGTAGCTGTGCATACTCTAGTCTTATTTCTTTCTTCTGAGGCCTTTATCTTCTTCTTAGATTGTAAAACAGCTGGTTTCTTTTGACTCCCATCCAGTTTTTTTAAATATATGATGAGAGCAGTGGAGCTACAATGAATGGCTGAAACTGAAACAAACAAGATAATCAAGATAATTAAACACTAGAAGTGCATGTGTGCAGGGAGAGCATGCACAATGACAATAGGACCTTGATACCAACATCTCAAAACCAAAAGACTATTGTGTAGTTTACCTTTGACCAGGATATATAAATATGAGTGTATGTTTATTAGCAAGGGCTTTAGGAAAACCTAGTCTGTCTTCAGTAATGTATTTGTAAAATATGATTGTTGTACTAGTTTGTTATCCTGTTGGTACAGTGTGATTAATGTAGATAGATTCTAAACTGATTCTGGTGGCTTTATGTCTTCAGCCACCCTCTGATGGGTGAAAAAATATTTTTAACATAGAAAAATAAAAATGGTTGAAGAAAGTGGTAAACATCAGATTTAAACCCCAACGCAGACCAAAATTGTGGTTTGATGCGTATCAATCCAGCCTGACCTACACTTGTTGATAAAGCAAACACATTGTTTATTTAAGGACCAAGGTTACATTTCGACATGGAGCAATAACCTGAACCTTTTTCTAAAACTAGAGTCTGGTTAAACGTATGTGGATCTAATTTTATACATCAACTTAAAACATATTGTTTCTACGGAAGCCCTTAAAGGAGAGTTAGAAAAAAAAACTTAAAATCTAGATAAGAAAAGTTCTAAGCTGTTTTTTTTTTTTTACCCATAAAAGCAAGTAAGAAAAATGAGGTTAGTTTTAAGATTTTCTCTTTTTCTTTCTTGCCCTGAAAGGCCCTAAAACTTGCTCTTGGTCATCATCATAACATGTCACAATAAATTAGACATTGGTGTAACAAATAACATAAGAAAACTTGAATATTAATGCTTCCAGATTATTATATGTACTGTACTTACAAGGCTATCTATAAATATTTCAGTTATAACAGATAAATAAAAAGTTGTTGGGAAACATAGTTTTTTAACCTCAAAGTATGAACAATTATTGAATTAGATTTTGAAGTCTTGGTACCTCATTGGACCTTATTTTACTTTACAAAAATATAGTTTCAAAATTGGAACGATGATTTGTGGAAACCAGGTCTCTGACTACAAATTCTATAAATGCTGCTGTTAATGAAGTTCTGTGACAAGGCAAAGTTTTAGAAAAACTAAGACTCAAAAGTTAGCCTTTAAAATAACTTTTTTTTTCTCACTTGCCTTGCACAACAAGCAAAACTCAGGCCTCTTTTTGTTTTTTGAAGAAGAAGATGCCCAGAAACAGGGTCGACATTGTGGTTTACGCCTTTCAGCAGTGGCGGCTGGTGAAAAATATTTTTGGTGGGGCTGATATAGCCTAGTGTATGTCTCCAATTAATCCAGAATAAGAATTCAAATGAACAATTGGACAATAAATACAATTTAACAGTAATGATTTAATTTACTATATAATAACAGTAACAGTGATGATTTTGGTCACTGTGACGGGGTTCTTTGGCCTCCAAGAATCCAGGCTCAGTCGGGTTACCGGTGTTGGTGATTTATTGTGCTCAAAAACTCAAAACAGGGTGCAAAAGAAACTAAACATATACAAGATACTCTGGGCCTCAGCCTCCCTCCAGTTACCAGCA